AATAGAGCCTGTTCTCACTGTGTCCTGATTCTTTGCCTATCATTCTCACTTTTCCTTAAATTCCCTCATATGTAGCCAGCATTAGCAAAGAATACCTCCTTGCATGAGTTTTATCTAATACTGCTTCCTATGGCGGCTGGAAGTGAATGGGGAATGGCATTTGATAATCTCTGACTCCATCGTAAATGAAATTTAAACTAAAAGCAGCTGTTTCTTTTAAAGTGAAAGACACATCTGCATTAAATATAATACAACTTCATCTGGCTTGGTCTGCTAACACTTCAGTCATATGGGTTTCGGTCTTGTCACTGATTGCCATCCATTTCCTAAAGCTTTTGATTTCTTTTGAGAAAGGTGGGCAGGAATTAATTTAAGAAATTTTTAAGTAGTTAAATAATGACTTTCCTCTCTCCTTCTTGCAAAGTATGCAACTTGATGAATTTGGATAGTCTAGTACTAAGGCTATCAATATATTAGTAGAGATTGCATTTGATGGTGATGTTTCATGAGCACTGGACTGACAACAAAGGAGGCAGTGGGGAACCAATCAGCCCCAAACTCAAAGCCGCTCCTGGGAAAGACCTTTTCTGGAGGTTGGCATGTGGGTGTTGCAGCTGTGAAAGCTCAGTGTATGAGTGGTTACAGGTATTGGCTTCCTTTTTTCTCTGCATATATTTGTAGTAAAATGGGCATCAGTGCCAGAGAGAAAGAAAGGTTGAGCCAAGCTTTTTTAGGAAAAAAAATTTCTTGTGGAACAATACAATCTGTATTGCTTACATGACAGTTGTATGGTGTTATGGAGAATTCTGTTTATGAATAATAATGGGGGTTCTGGAAATGTTGGCAGTAGCACTCAATGGAAAGTCAAACAAAGGGCATTCTGTTTCACGTTCATATCTTTGGTAGTCAGGTATTTTGAAATTCTATAATGACAATGTTTTCCTTTTCTAGTTTCAATTAGGTCCTTTCAGTCTTGTATATTTGTTTCCTCTAGTTTAAGCAAGATTATCTAACAGAGTTTTGAACTAAATGTCTTTAAAATTATTCATTCAAATGTGATTGATTAGGTTAGCAAAACTGGCCCCATCTTTTGGGGGATGGGGTGGGAAAGAGGAAAGGAATGGATACAAAAAAAAAAGATGGAGCAGAAAGCTGTCTAGAAGGAAGTTTGTACAGACGTTTTATCTGAGGTGGAGACAAGGATTACCTCCTATCTTTACACTGTACTGATGAAGCGGTACACGCCAAAAATTCAGTAGATTGAAAATAAGGGAATTTCTTTAGGGGAAAAAAAAGGGGGGGGTGTTTTTTGTCAAATCAAATATCTCTTATTCTGGAGAACGACTCCATAATTTTGAAATTGACCTTGAAATCTTTAAATTCTTGAACAAATTCTTTGTGACATGGAAAAGATGTCTTTTCTTCTTTAACCCTTTCCTTACCTGTTCTTCCCTGCATTTCTGTATCCTGGCAGAAGAAGAGGTGTGGTGCAAATGTCTGAGTGGCACAGAGGAATCAGGATTGGAGGAGATGGTGCTCTGGAGAAGGGAGGGATCCACTGCCCAGCCTGCTGATCCCTGGTACAGTGGCCAAGAAGCAGAGCTGGGACCTTGACATCACTCAGATGCTCAGTTGGCAATACCCCCTCCCTAGGATCCTGAGAAGAAGAACCACATTGAAAGACAAAATATTATCCTCTCTAGTATAATTTCAGACTATTTCTCATTCTTTTTGGCCCACTTCCTTATTTTTTCACTCAATGTTTTAAAACCAGATCCTAGAAATAGTCCCAAAATAGCTCCTCTAAGTCATATGTCACATGCAAAACACTGACTGATGAGAACACCATCTTCAGAGAGTTACGTGGAACTTGGATTCCTCAGCAGACTCTTTTCTTTAGTGAAACAGACAATATGAACTGTGAAAAGTGGAGTACCTTTCCAGTCCAGTCTTCTATTCATGAATAGAAATCTTTCTTTAAAAATAAATGTCCTGGACCACAAAGCGGATAATTCTGCACACAAATAGCCCACTCTCTGTCTATAGATATTCCAAACTTGCTATTGCTACTCAGATAGGATAAAGCTTTACTTGCATGCTTAAGGGATCTGTTTAACTAATGCTAAACAAAGTAATTAAGTGATTTGTGGGATTTGCTACACTAATTTAAAGTATACCTGGTTTTGGTTTGAGAAGGGTCAGCGTTTGACACTTCTCAACAAACAGCAAAAAGGAACCACAAATGAGGAGTAACATACCTCTCAACACTGGATTTCTCCCTAATCTTTAATCAGTAACAATAGATTTACACTTTGAAGCACATAAATTAGTGTCAGTTTCAGATTCGAAATTGTGACAGCTCAGGAGATATTTACTAACAGTAAGTAAATTCTTATAGCAAATTCTTACAGAGGACCAGTTGGAGTTATTGAGCTAGGTTTTGGGTATAGTTAGATCTTGTTTAATCTCTAGCCCAGTTTTGCAAAGTAGTGATCCTTGAAGTTTTTCTTTCTGTACATATACAGAACTTTTTGCTGTTTGTTTGGAAAGTAAATCAGTCTAACTTGTACAATTTCTCACTAAAGGCCTATACAGTTTGACCTCTGGTTTGACTCTTACTTCAGGTGTTTCTATTTTCTTGTATGATTTCTCCTTATTACTAATTAACTTGCCAGGTGATCATGCACCAAATCAGCTTGGTGATTCCTCCTATTTCCCCACTGCTTGGATAGAAACCCTAACAAGTCAGCACCTTGTCCTAAAGAAATGTCAAGCTCTCTAAATGCACATTCCCAGAGTCCTCAGTCCAGCAGTCTTCGTTAACTAATTTGCAAAAGTTTTCTCTGCTGAAACCACCTTTATAGACCTGCCTTACTTAATTCTTCTGTTTAACATAAACTAAGTTAATTTCTGGTTAGCTCATGCAAGGTGTAGAGCCAGCGGTCTCTATCCTTTCTGGTTCAATGGCCACCAGGTGAAGGAATACAGGATTACTGTCCAGTTTCTATTGAGGGGACCCTGGCTGCCATCCCTGGCCCTGCCCCATTGCGGGTGGTGGGATGGGGTCAGTGAGGACACTGCCTCAAATAGACTTGTCATTGCACTCAGATGTTGTTGCCTGGCTCCTACTCCTGGCCAGCCCTTGCCAGCTCCTGACAACCTGTTCCTGCTTGGTTCTTATGGTTTTTTCTGTCATACTTTATCTCTTAACAGTGTGTCATATTATTAACCATTCATCTGTGTTTTAATTAGCGATAACTAGTACATCAAACCAGATTCCTGATACTCAAGACTTTGAGTAATATGAGGGATATAAGTATTGAGAAAAGTAAGACATTTTCTGACAGGTATTTAAAATTTTACATAGGTCAAGAAACTTTTAACTGCTCTGGGTTTTGCTTTTTTGTTTTTAATCCTTTTGTGAAGTCCATTCTCTGTTGTGTCAACTATCACATGCTCCAAAAGCAGCAAACTATAAGCCAACACATCTATTACCATAGAACTCTGTCAGAAGCTGTGATCAAGCCAGTGAAGCACCCTGGGAGTAGAGCAGAGCTGGTGCACAGACCTGCAGCAGCATGCTTATGGTTCATGCAGATGTGCCTCGGTGAGCCTGGAGCCCCATCCCATGGGAGACTGTGACACACAAGACTTCTCAGCAGTTTCATCTGTCCTACCTATGTGAAACAGCTGAATCACCAAAGAATCATAAGCGCGATTTGCAGGAATAAATTTTATTCTTTAACATAATGGGGACATCATCAGTGGACCTGTTTCTGTTTTGATCAATACCAGAGCTGTCTACCATTCTACAGATGCTTTTTGAGATATTTCTCTAAGTGTCATCTTATCAGATGACAGGATATACATGACATTTTTAGATTATATACCTAATGCATGTTAGCTAACATATGACAGACAAAACTAAAATGTTATGTACTGTGAAAATTTGGAATAAATTTGAATATGTATGACCTATAGAATGTGGAAATCTGCTCTGTGAGATAATAGAGGCACTTAATTACCTTTTTAAAAGTTATATGAAAATAAATGAAGAAGATAAGGAAAGGGACAGAATCACTAGTCTATTGGCCAGAAAGCCATCAAAAGCTTTTGGAATTGTTGATAGGTAGATTATTCCCACAACCCTGTGTTATTTAGCCACACATTGAACAATCATGTTTCACAGCATTAAACCCTAAGGACCTCTCTGTTAACTGCCTCTGAGAAGGAAACAGAAAGGTTAATTCTGGTCTAATAGGACAGTCTAACAGGGCAGTTGTCCAGGCAAGAGTTCATACCTCTGCATAGCTTGGCTTGGCAAACTCTTTTATTACCTAAGTTAAAAACAACCTCATTCTGTTCATTGTGCCTCACACTGAACATCTCCTACTGGTATGGATAACCAGGAATATCTAGAGAATTCAGTCTCTTTAATTATTTAGAGCTTTTCTAGGGCTTTAAATATAGCATGTTGCTGCAAACAGTTATTCTTTATTTGTCAATGGAAACAAATATCTCTATATGTCCCTCTTGCCTCCTTTCAGCATTCCTCTTCCACGGTGCTGAACGAAAGCATAGTCAGCCATTGCATAAGACGAGCCAAGGCAAACCCAGGTTTTCATACAGAGGACACACAAGCAATCAACTGCTTGGAAGCAGAACTATATGTTTTAGTCTAGGAGAGAAAGGTACTCTAGACAACAGTGACGTATTGCACACTTTTCCCATGTATATTCTTGGGAAATCAATCTCATTACTGTGATATGGCCAGTCATATGTTACATAAAGGGATATATGTTATGAATTATAACAGAAGTGAAATCCAGAATTTCTACTGGCAATAGAGTATAGCATTACCACACAGAGCTTTATTACAAAAGTAAACTGCATTTTTCATAGTGGATTCCTCATTCCTGGATGTATTAACTATATTTATTTCATGGAAGAGATTAATGGAATGTTTAAACAAAGATTTTGCAACCTTCATCCTTGTTGGTAGGTGCTTTTGTCTTTCTGTCTTAGCTTGAAGCATCATGTGTCTTTCAATGGAGCTGCTTGACAGTTGACATTTTCTGCTTTTACTTCTACTCCAGCTGCTAATTGCATATTTACAATCCTTCAATCAAGAGGAAAAGAGAAACAGATTAGAAAAATTTTCAATCTGTCAAGCAAACCATACATATAATGAAACATCCACTCATTAAACATAGAGAATTTTATAGCTTTAATAATAAGTGTTATAAAGAGCACAAAGGTAATATTAATTCTGAAGGAATGTAGGACTGGAAAAACAATAAGTCATTTTGACAGTTGCTATGAAGACTATTACCAAATGTTATGTTTACTTGACTAGGTTCAATTTATAAAACAAGACCCATAAAAAATCTACAGCATAATCAATTGAGATGCCCTGTTACAAACAGCAACTAATGGAGTGAAGTTCTGATATGCTGATTAATGATTGAATTGTGATCATGGATTTTACAAAATTAAGATAATTAGTAACGTGGGCTGCTTATGTACATTAAATGAAACACTGTGGCAATTAATTAAATTGCTATAATGATTTAACACTGTAAATGTTTTTTCTTAAGGAAGTGAAATTTTCTGAATGTGTGATTATCTTTCTAAAAGGAATTCACAAAGGTGTGTTTATTATGCAAATATGAAAAGATACAGGAACTTTTGTTCCTGTGCTGTAATCACTGATTAATGCCTCCATATATTTCTCATAAAAATTAAATTTGAGGTACATAAGAAATTCTCCTTTGTTTCTGTGTGTGCTGCTTGCAATCCTGAACATAATCAAGCAAGCTGACAGTATGTATGATTATATATGATACTACTCTGCAGGAGACAGTTCCAATATTGTATCTGCACCCTTCCATTCATTATTGGCAAACATGTGCCTGGAACTCACTGCAATGTTACAACTGGCATTTTGAAATACTGTGATTTCTTTTTTTTCTATCTAGGACTTGGATTCCCCATAGGATTTATGCACACTGCATTGTATTATTCAGTATACGTTCATGACTTCCACTACTATTAGGAAAAGCTATGTGTATACGTTCAGAGTAGAATATATCTCATAGTGGATTTCAGAAAATATAACATACAGTTACTTTAAAACACGAGGTTAACAAAATAGGAACTGCAAAACAAGGAAGGGAAAAACAAGCAATTTAAAAACCATTCACCCAGTACATTTGATCCTGTTCCCATTCTTTCCATAGCAAATCATGAGTAACTTTGCAAAAGTCAATGCAAGTCGGCGTAAAGCTGGTAGGAAATCAAACCTGAGCCTGTCCTGATTAAAAACCTGAGATATGTTCTTCATTTTTAAGCAGGCATTACCCTGAAACCTGAAAACTGATGGACACATTTAAACCACTCATTAGGTATCAAAATATTCTTTATAAGACCATAACTGAGTGTGGCAATAATAGTACCACGATAGATTGTGACAGAGCTAAGAAGGCTAACTGGTGCTTGGGGCACCATAATGGGGTTCACTAGCTCAGTTTCCAGTTCTGCCAAAATAGTATCGGCAAGGTGCTTTCCCTCTCGGAGGCTCTGTTTCTGTGAACTTAGAATGAGGATACTGACAGCATTAACAGCTTTGAGATCTAATGACAAAGAGCAGAGTGAATTATCTCAATACAGTTTATTAGTTCTATCAGTTGGACAAGGATGTAAGCAGTGGAGCCAAGCCAGCTCCCAGAGAAGAACAGGTTTCTAGTAAGACCAAATATCTCTCTGGATCACAAGGCACTCATAATCACCACATCTGTTGCTTATGTTGGTTCAAAATTATTTTTTTTTCACTATTTAAGAAGTGGAATAAAATCTGATTTACTAGTGGTACCTGTTCCCTCAACCTCATTAAGCAGAGGAGAGGTTAAGAAAGAACGTTCACCTGATCCTCTACAGGCAGCTGCAAGCTATCTTTGGCTCTGCATGGAGCAGATGTGACCTGGGCATTTCTGAAGGCCAATCTGAGAAACAAAGATTAGTGCTTCCCTTAGCCGGATCAAAGAAACCTCTGTCAGAGGCATTTCAGATCTAGCTAACATCGAGTCAGGGCAGAAGACCATGTGGAGATCCTCAGAGCAGTTAGTGCTGATCTCCTTCAAGACCAGGACATGCCACTACACCCAGCCTATGTTGGTCTGCTCAGAGAAGAAAGCACTGCAGTTGGTTTGGGAGGTCTCTTGAACCAAAACCCAAACCTGGAAATCTTTTGGGTTTCCAAAATCTTCCAGTAGAATGAAGAGTAAAGATGATGAGAAATAAAGGAAATAAGAAGGCTACAAAATGAAATCTAAAAGCAATCTCTAACTTTGTATACAGTGCCTGTCAGAAAAGGTCGTCTGTTTTACAAGACAAGAAATGCAAAACAAGAGCGTCTGTAACTATTTGTAAATATTGTCAAATTTATGGAACTGGTTTGACATGAGGAAAAAATATCCCTGGAAAAGAGTTGCAAAACATTCTAAGTAGTTTATTTTGACATTTTAAAAACTTTAAAAAAATGTTATTCTGCTTAAAAATTTATCTAAATTTACATTGAGACCTATTTTGCGAGTAAACAAAGGACATCAAAGTGAAATAAAACATTCCGTTTGGGTTCAAACAAAATGTTTATTTGGATCCAAAATATTGCCTTCCTTTTTTGCCAGAGAACTGAAAAAATATGCAGCTATTTTTAAAGCTTTCACTGTAACATCATTTCTAAATTTTATTTCTGCCCTATTTCTCATATTTTCTATAAAGAGTGCTCACATGATTTTTCCTCTAGTGAAATGTAAGCATTTGTTTTTGCCATCCTCTTATTACAATGTTGCATTCAGTGATTGGTTGTCATCAGTATTGTTAATATTACTATTACTTAGGGTCTTTCCAATGCAAAAATCTCATTTCCTCCTTACTATTCTCCTTCATCTTCTATTTTCTAAAACTTGATATTTCTTTAAATCTTTAAATTTACTTCCTCCAATTACATTTTTTATTTTATATTTAAGGTAGAAATGACTGAAAGCTAGCAAAAGTAACAAAATTTTTCACTAGCTCAGTTTGGGGGAAAATTTCCAAAATGGTAATTGAAACACTTCAAAATTTGGAAAACTATTAAAAACTGTAGGTAACAACTGAAAAGGAAAAGCCTGAAGTTCATGAAAATTTTCCAGATTTTTTTCCTTATTTTAACCCTAGTTATCTTTTTCTCCTGCTTCCTTTTTCTAAAACTGTTTTTTCTTCCTTCTCTTTCCTTATAGGTCTGAATCAGAAAGGTCTATCTGCAATTTAGATTTATTGGAATAGAGGTAAAAAAGAATAAGAGCAACTCTTCAATGTCAGATTTGCACAAAGTAGTCAGTGCAAGTGAAAGCCAAGTTCTTTACCATTTATCTCTTACTCTCCTTTATCTCTATTCACTTTCTCTATTTCAGTCCTTTCCATCCCTCTTCCTTGCCTTTCTTTGTACTTTTTCCCCCCTCTATCCTTACTTTTAGGTTTTTTAACCATCCCTCACACATCCCTACTTATTATCCAGGGACCTATTCAGCCACAGAAGACTTGAATTTTAAGTGTGAGAAAGTGAAAGACACTGTTGCAATGAGTGTGATGACAGATGATCTTCAGTAGGGTTTTTTTTACTGAAATGTTCTAATATTTTCAGCCAAAAATGTTCCCATCCTTTCAATAGGTTAAAAAATAACCCCTGAAATGTTGGTGCTGGTAGTATATATTACTATTGTTAGAGAAATCAGCCAGAGGGAGGAAATGACCTTTAAAATAGGAAGAAAATTCTCATTCCTTCTTGCCTCTTCCCTGCTTTCTGTTTGCTCTGCATTTTCTCATTTTCTTCTTACTTTTGCATTCTTCTCTTCTGCCAGTTCCCTCACACTTTTAATTTTCATTTTTTTTAGTGGTTAATGAATATAAGGCTTATAATTCACTTAAAATCCACTTTATTAACCTAATTTGAACTCAGAGCATAAGGACAAAGGTGAGATAGTCTGTACCTATCTCAACTCCACAAAGCCAGGAGAGAAATTAACTCAAAAGACAGAGTGTGGGGAATGTACCTCCACAGTTACCCTCTAGGCTGCAGATTCACATGTTCTTAAGCAGTTGGTTTGGGAGGTCTCTTGAATCTCCATCACCGCATCCACCCTCAGCATTTCAGAGTGCTGCTGTATGACACCACTTTGTCTTTGAGGTCTCACTGAAGGTTTTTCTTGATGTAACTGCTCACATGAAGAGGAAGGTGCTGTGGATTATTGCTGCCTTCCAGAAAGCCCTTTTTGTCCACTTTGCTGGAGGCAAAATCAGAACCACTGCATGCCTGCTCCTCTAGGACAAATTTAGTTTGGACATAACTGGAGCAGATAGAAGGGTGCTCTGCTATGCCCTGTCTGCATGTGAGATAGAGAGGAGCATCACCCAAGGGTTCCTGAGAGAATCTCTCTCTAAGCAGACCAGCATATGGAACCACACCATTTCACCTGCCATGTCAAGTTCATACTTAGGAAAGAACTATATATACATATGAACTCCCTGTGCACTGGAGCACTAATATACCAGCATCTGTGTTGCAAACCAAATCAAGAAGTGCTGAAGCATCTCTTATAAATACACTTCTTCAGGAACAGAATCTGCAGAATGTATTCTTTGAAAAAAGATTCAGACATATGCTTTCTCCTCTGCTAAGTGCCCTGAGAAACAAAGCTTCAGATGTCAGCAGAAAGTTAATATATAGAGTTGGGAAACCTTAAAGGAAGGTTGTAGAACAAATTCCTTAAGGAGTTTGCCTCATACGAGCTTGTATAATGTTGCAGGAGGAAAATGAAAAAAAAAATCAAGGGAAAGACAGTGAAACAACTAATTTCTGTCCAAAAGGAAAGAGAAAAATCAATATTCTAGATTTACTTAATGGTTTTGTTTGCAATAGGTTTCAAGGAAGGGAGTCTTTGCTTTGTCTCAAGATGTCCTCACATGAACACAACAGAAGGAGACTGAGAGAGAATGATTTGCCTTAAGTGTTGGTACTTCCCTAGTCATAAGGATTTGGTAACTTCACTTTTCATAGTTGTTGCTCAAACTGATCAAATGAATTTATAAAGCCTATCTTCCCAATCTTACTTGAGACCATTCTTCTTGATATTGAAGTCTAGATTCTTGAGATGGGAGTCTTTCATGGGTCCAGTTTTGCACCTCATGTAGGCTGACACCACGCAGACATGGGCTCAGCCCAGATTTAGCCTGAAAGGGCCAGAGAAGTCTGAAGAATATCACCTTCCTTGCAGTTTTATATATAGATACAGATGTTCTGTGTATTCTCTGAACCTTTTGCAGTCAGATGAGAGTAAGATTTGGATTCTGTTTGTTTGTTTTCAAAAAATTACCAAGTCAGACTGTTCTTTTCCTAGAAATGTATTTGTCCTGTACATGCGAGAAAGTGGGGAGAGGAGGAGCTGGCTGGCATATTCTTAACTGCTATATATTGCAGAACAGGCTTCCAGTTGTCAGCGTCTGCAGCCTGTAGAAGCATGGTTTCAATTTTACTTTTGAAATCTGAGTCGAGCAATGTTGCCAACACATATTTTTCCCTGTCAAAACATTTCACTTATTCCTGAGTCTGTAGACAGCTTTTTAGGTTACATCTTTTCCCCAGTCTTATTGAAACAGGATCTTCATTTCTTTTGAAATCATTTTTCATTAGTGTGGGAGCAAAAAGTAGATACCAGAGCAGATAAGTGGCAGCACCTGGCTTAAAGATGTTCTATCAGCTCTTAGTTTCTGTGTGATCACTTCTGATAATTGGAGGATGAAAACCAAAGCAGCAGTCACACTCAAAACATGATAGGTGAAGACATTATCTTCCTTCCCTCTATATACCCTTAGTGCTGCCTGTGCTCCCTCTTGTTCTACTGAGCTGATAGAACATGCAAAACGCAGACTTAAGGTTTCACATGTTGCTTCAGCAAACTATTTTTTTACTAATTTGGTCATGAGGAGGACTGGTTCACTGATTAGTTGGACTTAAATTAGCTTTAAAAGCATATAGTTTCTGTGTTTGTGAACTACAGGCTCTCCAGGGAAGTGGTCACAGCACCAAGCCTGACAGAGTTCAAGAAGCATTTGGATGATACTCTCAGGCACATGGTGTGACTCTTGGGGATGGTCCTGTGCAGGGCCAGGAGTTGGACTCTGCAATCCTTGTGTGTCCCTTCCTATTTGTCATATGCTCTGATTCTGTGATTTATTCCCATGTTTATAGTTGCCTTAATTATTTTCAAACATATGCACACATTTTAGTCTAGAGGATTCATGCAAACAATGCCTCAGCTGTTTGCTGTTCACTAGCTATTGTTCATGGTATGTGGCAAAGTCATATGAACTACGTCGTATGATTCCTGTTTCCTAACTGGATGTCTAGCAAGACAATGAATAATAATTGAACACTAACAGACAAAGCAATTTCACCCTCCCCAAAAACCCCAATTCAGATTATAAACGCTTTGTAGTCAAACTAGTATATACTCTGGGAACAACGTCTGAGAATTTTTAACCTTTAGCAGCAAATAACAATTCCCTTAATAACTGTGAAAAGGAATTCCTTAGATTAAAGCACAAAGATATTCAGAATCATTCTTTGTATTTTTTGCCAGCTGTATTTATTGTTTCATTCATGTTTCTGGATAAAAACCATCTGTAGTTCAAATACCAAACTCCCCAACAATCTGATTTTAATAATTTGCCTAAGATCAGACTGTAAAGAAGCAGATCTGAGCAATATAGAGGAAAGATGACACACTCTTCAAATCTTCAGCTTTTATTTCTATTTCAGTTCCCTAACAAGATGAGGCTCAACAGCTGTACTGTTTGCAAGTCTGTGCATCGGCAACAGATTAACAAGCCAATAGAAAATGTGGGTGGCAAGAGAGTCCCAGAGCTCAAGTAGACAATTCTTTTTTTCCAAGGCACGATCAGCTCTTGAACAATTCCCATGCACCTGAGCCTAGCTCTGTCTTAAAGACTTTCTCTGAAGGCAATTTTTCCAACCAGTCTATTGCAGTGCTCCATTTTTGTAGTATTAAAAATATTTCATACTACCTTTTCTGAGCCTTCCGTGATGCAATTTCAGCCTTCTGAAAGGTAGGACAGCTTTCTGTCCTACCCAACTAAAATCTGACATAAAAAAATGTTTCTGCTCCTCTTTTCTATTTACCCTTTTGACATCAGACATCATATCCACCCTCAGGGCCTCCTTTATTCAGATATCATCGCCTGCTGAGTCTTTCCTTGGAGTTTGTGTTGTAAAGACTGATCCTTTGTTTTCCTCCTTGCATTTTCTTCAAACATTCCAGAATCATCTTCAGGTGGAGAAAGTATTTCAGACTGTCTTACAGGAAGTATTCTTTTTTATTCAATCTAACGTGTTGTTTGGTTTTCTTAATAACAAAGCACTATTTATAAATGTGATCAATTATAATCTATAGATCTTCTTTTGCCACCTGGTTAGCCTTTCTTCTGCTTGCCTTTGGACAGCTGATTATTCTTTACTAAATGTAGCATTTTGCACCTGTCCCTGATGAATTTTCAGTGAGCTCACCATACTAACTTCTGAACCTGTTGGTCAGTCTCAGCTGACCAGGCTTCAGTTGGCAGAGCTCAGCTGACACTCAGTAATTTCAGACTCATTTTGTGAAAACAGTCAGCTAGAGGAGGGAGGACATCCCCAAGGAGAGGAAGGTTATGACGTGAACTTGATGCTTCTTAGATGCTAGCAACCCAGCACAGCACGACTCCAAAGGAAATGCAGCTTCATAGAAATATTTGTTTTAAAATTGAAAAGCTGTAAGGTTACTCCTGTACTTATGATCTTATGTCAAGTAACTACTTTGGGGTGTTTTTTCCGTTGTACATCTGTCAGCCGCTAGAGAACTTACCACAGGGCTTCATGATCCTGGGGTTATGTTGACTGTAGTGCTAGGTCTTTCCTTGGGTGATACAGATTCCCGGAATTAAATTGAGAGGTCTCACATTCAGCAGTTGCTGTTACTGATTCAGTCAGAGGCTTTGGGCTGCAAAATAATGGCCGGTAAAGGAGACACCTGGTTAGACAAAATTGTTTTCTAAAATAGATGATATCTTTAAAGAGGGATTGTGAGTGCATGCTGTTACAGGCTACATCTTTATCAGTGGTAGCAAAGAGTTAAATCCTCAGTTGCATCCATTTAGTGAACAAACTTTTTGTGGTGTTGTGGTATAAAGAAAGCTCATTAAGTACTGAACTTCTGAATTAATACAATACAGAATATTGCTGTGCTGCAACCACAATAGAAAAGAATTTTTAATCCACAGTATTCTGGTCTATGAGACAAAAATCAGTACCTACAGCTATGAGAAAAGAAATAGGCAATTTCTTTAAGTATAAACATTCCTATTTGACAAAATGAAATTGCACATATTAAAAGCAGAGTAAAGACAGGAAGAGGATCAGAAGAAATATAAAGTGAATTGGAAGAAAAAAGATCTCTTTGTACATGACCACTATTCCCATCAGTTATTAAACCTCAGCAGAGCTACACACAAAAACAAAAGACAGTAATTCAAAAGCTATAGTCAAATACTATGATGTTCTGTGGTGACAGTTGTTTGAAGAATATGTAATCAATATGATTGTCTTTTCATCGTTTCTATTGAGTTTAAGAAAAAGTTATATAAAAGATTACTGTGAGAAAGAATATGAAAATATTTTCCCCTTGTTGGAAAGATATTGCATTTTATTTTGGGGGAAGTTTGGGCTTTTTATTGAAAAAATAAACACTGAAAACAGAAGGTATCATATTGAGGGGTTATTTTTTGGGAGACCCTGTAGTGCTGATAAAAACAGAGATCTCTGTGATTAATTACAGATCATTCAAAATTATTTTGTCCTGGAATAAAGATTGATGATGAATTTCTAACTATTTCTTAGTCTTGAATGCCTAAGTAGAAACATACAAGCTGACTGCAGAGAAAGAAAACTGAAGGAAAAATTGACTGACATATGATAGGAAGTCGAAATGCATGATTTGGGGATTTTAGATCTCTTTCTTCTATTTGAAATAAGAAGCTTAATCCCATGAGAATGTATAGGAAACAGAAGTGAGCTGGCTGAGAATTTTCTACTCCACATTTCTTTGACAGAAAGATGCATTTTTGATTAAACAGAATTTTTTTCTTGGAAAGTGTCTGCCTTAATTTAAAACATAGCTTCCTTTTGTCTGAAAACAGAAATTCATAACTTTTATAGCATAAAAAGGGAGTAAAGACTCTAATTTTGTTTTGTTTTGTTTGATGAAGAGTCCAAACACTAAGCCAAGCTTTTCAGTTACCATCCTAGTTTTATCTGTGGTTGTCATTTGAGGTAAGTGGTCTTACACTGTTAACCCTTAACAACATATCCCACGTGATTTTTTTAATAATACAAACAAATGGCACAATAGGACATAATAGTACAAACAAGAAAACAAAAGAAAGAAAAAACCAGGAAAAGATTATTATTTATAATAAAATTTTAAAAATAACAAGTAAAGCTAAAAAAAATTAACTTACTGTCTTAAGTGATGGAAATAGAACAATGTCAGCAATACCACGGCTAAATACAAATGACAAAACATTACCTCATTGGTTTGTTCTAGCTGTGTCAAAATTCACTTTTTGCATTCACTTCTCTACTCTCCTCAGTTTCCATAAGTGTCCTCATAAGAATCCAGCTGCTGACTTAATTTTACATTTGGCCAGCTGAATATCATGCATGCATCCCAAATTTAGGACTCAGGAGTTAAAGTTAGTCTTTTACCTTTAAATCTAAAGATGCTCACCCAACCATGAATAGGTTTCTTTATATCTTATGTCTTTATGTTCCTATTAACCTGCATTTTTTAATTCTGTGAATGTCAGAAGAATGAATGGACAAGAGAGTTGTGAATAATAGGAGGTAACATGAAGTTTATAGAGGTACTGATTGCACAGTATGGTTGGGAAGGTTCATATGTTTGCCTAAGGCAGTGCCTCTCTCTCTGCTACCTTTTGCTTGCAAAAAGGACCCTGTACTGGGCATGCCAGAAGGAACATATGCCCAGCATTTACTAGAGAGTTGGTGCCATATATAAAAAGTACTGCCTTAGCTGTTGCCTCTTCTCATAACTGTGTTTCTTGGTCATGTGCTCATCATAACCACACCTTTCTTCATTTTTTTTTTAATGGAAATATTTTAGATGTAGTGAGGAATGGTCACCTCTGAAACTGAGAGCATTCCCGGGGTTTCTGCGCCCATCTCTCATCTAATTTTAGGAGACGTAAATACATCACCAAGTGAGTGGTTTTTCTGTTTGAGATGGTATTTGTGCACATGTAAAATGTGTTTTCAAGCATTATCTCTTTTCACCTGACACATCATAAACATGTAAGTGTGCAGTAATATGATCTGTTTCTATAGAGACCAAGCATAGAATACTTTAAGAATACACATAAGAATTTGTAAGGAATGTTTATGATGTTTCTGCTTCTCTGAAACTTCTATCCATTGCAAGGGTACTTGATAAATGACAGATTTCTAACTAGGTCTTGAGGCAGCATCCAAAGGATAATCCCTTTATCTCTGCCATCTATGACCAAAGAGAAGTTGAGATATCCACTCTGCCCTTCTCTTCCAAACAGTATCAGCTCTGTGTGATTCTTTAATCTTTGTCCTAAAAAGCTTCCCATGATGAATGCTCTTCAATTAATTCCAATGCATCATTACCTTTGGCAATGCCTAATTCGAATACTTTTTGATGTAATGTCCTTTTTAGCATGGTCTTGTGGTTTAACCACAGCTAGAAAAGCATATTCTTTTTTTCCATGAGTAGATTTTTTTTGTCTTGGCTCCTCTTTTTCTTCTCTTTCCTTCTCTTTTTTTTTTTGGTATGTGTTTTGTATTGTTTTGTTTTGATTTTAGATCTTCACCACCTGAAGATCCTACTGTGACTAACCTTGACTCTACCATGTGTGTATATAGCTCATTGGTCTGCTGTAGATTTAAGAAGAAGAAGAAGAAGAGCTGAACAAATCCCTACTTAGTCAGAACACTTTCTCTTGCCCTTGGGCTGGAGATAGGCCAGGACAATGCCTTTTATTGAAGAACAGAAATATGAAATGTATCACATCTCTTGAACTGACTGATATGTAGAATTTACCAAAATGGAAACCACATGTTTCTAAGAATTTAAAACACAGAGGCAGCTGCACTAGCATTATACGCACATCTGGAAGCAGCCATCTCTCACAGAGGTAGCTTTGTAAATCTTTTCTGGGGGCACCATCCTAAAATTCATTTTGCCTAAGATAAAATACAATAAGATATGCTGAAAAACTTATAGCTAACGTAGGAACATCACATGGCTTCATACAGACATTGACAAAACAAACGGACAGACAGACATCAAGCAGGAAAGGAAAGTAAGTTGTGTCACTTCAGAAAAAAACACGAGTGTACATTTTGTTTTTCCTTCTGCTCACGAACTCATTTGGTAGAACAGTATGGTTGTTATCTAGACTGTCTTTGTTCAGCTTGCAAGTGTATGCTAAGAGTGACCAAATTAAATTATGTCTTCTTACTCAAAAGAATGGTTTCCTGTGTGTACTCAAAACCACAGCTTCTTTATTGACTGGAATAAGTTTTTACTACTTTTTGCCACTTGACAGCCCTTTAGAGCCAAAAGAGCTGTGGGACAGTGAGGGGGACTCTGCCTTGTGCATCATTTGCAGAGTTGGTAACTACACCCAAACTTCAGCCCCTTTATTGCTGGTGGCACAGGAGACAGAAGCACTGTGGCTTGGCATTTATACTCCAAGTGGATCTGTATAAGTTTAGAGAGAAGTACTGCTAATAGACATCTAGGGTGGAAGAGTGATTAATTTCTGTGACTACCAGAATAGAAAATTCTTCGGCTTCCAGGTTGAAATGTAGGTAGGATTTCCTGATCTTCACCAGAGGTTTCTCTGGGCCTCTGATTTAGAGAACAGGGCTTAGGTATACGAGCATAAGGAGCAAAGAACATATTATGTATTTCTCTTTGAGTCTTAGTTGCTTTGCTGAAGGGATTCCTGGTGTGGAAGTATCAGCAGGAGGCAAATGCCATATGGGTTTGAGCTCTGTAAAAGAGAAATGGGTATATCAAATTTTGCAACATGAAATAGAACGATATTTTTATAAGGAGTGTTGACAACATTGAAAAGCTAAGCAACAGGCCAGAAAAAGATTACCCATGCCCTTGACTGTCCCTCAGGAACATGTCCCTAGCATTAAACAATTGGGAAGCTCCACTACTGTGTAAATTTCAGACTTAGCACGAGAATCCAAGGGAAGCAAGTTCCAGTAGTGTCACATGGCTCTTCACAGAGCTGAAGGTAGGTAGATCTTCTTAGTAGCAAAAGGGTTTTAGCTTTTCTGCCTTCTCAGCTGTTGGAGACAGATTCCTGCCAAAAGAGCCGGCAGTTGGGAAATGGCAAAAGAAAAAAAATAGTTATGTCCTTTCAAACAGGTGCACTATGCCTGCAGCAAAGAGAAAGACACATGAGAACATGCATTTGCACAAGGAGGCATTAGAATAAAAAGGCTTGAGCTGCAGAGACTGAAATATCTTTACAAGATGGCAGGCAGCCAGAAATCTGGAGGGTGGGGGAATGACTGCTTTTTCTTATTTTTCACATTTTTGATTGAAGGCATTTGATTCTGATTTCAGCTATGTGGTTACATATTGATGCTTAAAATGTGAAATCAGTTGTTATTCAGAAGATGATTTAATAAGCTAGGCAGGAATATCTGCCAGCGTAGCTAAGTTCAGAAATCAGGCACAGGTTTTCTGCCAAAAGAATTGGGAACTAAGAAACCATAACAAAACACAACCACATCAGCCAGTATATATTGCTGCAGATCAGACCCATATTAAAAATATTTTCTCAATATAACAGGAGCATTTAGGTGTCTTTGAAAAGATTTTATTGAGTTTAAGATAACACATTTTGCATTTTACTGTACAAAATACTGCAATGCCTTTCAATGGATGCCTCTATTTTTGTCCTTATGTGCAATTGAGTTCTTTATGCCTACAGAATTCTAAAGTAACATAAAGATAGCTGTATATGTACAGAATATCTGTCAAAGGATTTGGCCTTTGTTATAACAGCCATGAGTTTTCAGGATGCACATGCAACCATCTGTACCTTTCCTTTAAGTGCTTATCTGTGTGATCCTTCAAAAAATTAAGCCTATTCTTAGAGTTACACAGATACATATTTTTCACTCATATGTAATTGGTGTTTAGAAAATAAAAGCTGTTATTCTCAGTTCCCATCTCTCAAACAATTTAGCATTTTCAAAGAAAATATATACTTTCTAAGTGAATCCAAGATCCCTCTAACTAAATATGTTCCATTTTCCTCACATCTTGAAAATTTTATTCTGCTTCTTCATTGACAAGCATAATGAAAAAAGTGGCATAGCAAGAGCTCTGCTTATTATTTGCTTTGATAGACATAGCTGGAAGGAAATGTTCTAAGCTCCGAGTATCTCAGGTAGCCATTTTAAAAGGCAATATTTACAGAGTGCCTCTCTGAGCTAGAGAAAAGACTTAAAATTCAAAACTCCTATCTGATAACATCCTGTCCATTTATTCCAGTTTATTTTGCTAAGACTTTATATGATGATACAAAACAAATATTACACAGTTGCAATTTTTGGGTTGGAAATTTTGTGTTGGTTCTCATTGCCTATAGTTTCAAATTCGTCACATTTTATGACAATGCATATGAAGGTTTCTAGCACAAAATCAAATCTTTTTGTCATAATCTCATTGCCATAATATCATCACCTTTGGCAATCATGTCTGACAGTTCACGAAAATGCAGATTGCCATCAAACCTACAAGGAAGGAGCCCTCAGATGCCAATGCATCCTTAGGGCAAGGAGTCAAACTACCAAGTTTATTGCTTTTCAAGTGGTCATATCCCTCTGGCATTTTTCCCAGTCTTTCTCCTCCCTGAACCGTAGCACACAGTAAAGAAAATAAAGATGTCATACAGCAAAATTAACATTAGTATGTAGATTTTTTTTTAGAAGCCTAGATTCTGGATTTAGATATGCTCTAGATGGATGACAAATTATACTATTAATTTCCATACCTTTTCCTTCAAATCACATATTTTCTTGAGACTGAGACTGTATTTGTATTTGGTTTTGTATCCTGACTCTATTTTTTGAGGAATTCAAAATTACCAATAGTTAAATAAGTTAAAATGAAACATTTTGTTTAAATAGATGGTGGAGGAAAAAATCACAAATAAAGCAAAACTAAAGTGGGCAGTGTCAGGAGTTGAAAAAATAGGAAAATTTAAATTCAGTGGCAGGATATAAGAATCATCTGTGCATATTATACAATTGTTAGGTACTGTTAAAGAACAGAATGATCCACAGTACCTATCTGAACACTAAGAAAAATAGTTGCCTGACAAGGTCTACCCTGTCCAGACATGAATGATGCCAAAGAAGATAAGAATATGAAATCTATAATATATACAGGAACTTCAACATCTCAACCCACATGAATTTCCCCAAAGCTCTTTGTCTGAGGATGAAATAAATCAGCCAGAATAAAGAAAGATCCACTTCCTTTAGTATTTTTCCACGTCCAAAAGGGAAATACCCTCTATTCCCCCCAAAAGTCAGTCTTAAAAGAGGAACAACAGTTGATTTTTGTATCTTGAAGGCAAAAAATTGCTAGTGACCAATAATTGCATGCCCAGTCAATCATCAGCAATGTGTAAACACCAAAAGCATAAGATTCATTAGGATATCAGGATAAGAAATATTTCTGAGACAGAACATGAAAAACAGAAATTCACTGAGGATCAGAAGTAGAAGTTACGGACAGGTATCTATTAAAAAACAGTTAATCTTCTCCTCTGTCTTTCAATTGAATATATTCTGGTGTATTAATTAAATCTTCATTGATGAGGGTTGGTTTTTTAGGGTATTCTGTGTTTAGAGCAGCTGTTGTAATCTTTGACAAATGCAATGCTGACTCTATGATGGATTCAAGTCTGTTGTTCACTGGCAACTTTGAGTTTCCTAGGAGTGAAATTAAATAAGGATAAACTGAGAAGCAGAGCATGAGATAAGAAAAGGAGATGAGAAGAAAGATGAAGATACCAGAGAGAGGTGAAAACCTACAATTAATTCGTTATTAAGAGCAGACTTTCTTTTCTGATGTCATAGTTTTGCATTGTAAGGTAATGAGAGGGTTTCAGAAGAAAAACAGATAAGCAAATACTACAAAGTTGAAGCGATGAGATTAAAAAAAAAATCAATTATTAACCATTATACTATCGTGTATAATCATGTTATTTGTATGTGACTAGAGGACAACATGGTCTCCAGGGTCATTAGCAAATCGTAGTAATGGGCTAAATTCTGAGTTACAGAGATTATGCCTCAAAACCAAGCTTAAACTTGTAAAATGTACTGCTGTATCATAAGATGGTACATTGAAGACTGTGTACATACCCTCATACAATCAGAACCCAGATCACACAGGCACCCCTCAGGAAGATCAGAGCTGATCCTATCTATTTCATCATTCCTTAAATTGTTTAGGTCCCATTCTAATACAAGCAGTAAGCTTTTTCATTCCTCTGAATTCTTTTATTCTTATGAAGTTCATTCCAATAGTGAATATTTGTTTTTGCAACCATAGTGATAACAGATAGTTACTGGACACAGTACACTCAAAGTATTTTCAACTATTCTTTTTGAAATTTGACTATATTAGGGTCTGTCTGTGGTAATGGTGCAATAAAGATACAGTACTGATATAATTCTTACATCAGTTTTCAGTTATGACATTAACAACTGTTCTGTTTAAGACTTTTCTGAAGTTATGAAGACAGATCATTCTTTCATCTCAGAAAATACAGTTTCCCAGTATTTTCTTCAGAACTTCACTTGTGCTTGAACTCTTCTGGGAATAGATCTACAGTACCTAACACACTCTGTGTGTAGGATTAATTACCAGTATTTTGTTTTACATGACTGAAATAAGTAAGGAACTTTTCTTGAGGGCACATTGATATAGGCATGAAGGAGAATTTGTACTACTTTCACAGAAAATCCATTTCTTTCACATGACATGAAAGGCAGGAAAAGTAGAGAATAAAATATGAGGAAGGAAACAATTGTTTCTATTTTGGAAATAAAGTTGAGTAGAATAGATTTTTATGGACCCAGTGACATTTTGGGGTAAGATACGGAATCTAGAGATATTAAATTATTCTTACATGTTTCTATTTTTTTATATTAGACTGTCTTACACATTCTGTTTCTTGAGTGTGTGTGTATGTATATGTACATGAACATACATTTGTACACATGATATACATATGTACATATGATAGACACTTCTCACAAGCTGATGAAAGCTGAACCTATTTAGCAGGAAGTGTACCTGATCCAGCAAGCAGCTTTCCTAGCTTTGTAGTGTGCTACTTGTGTATGGCAAGGAATAAAGCAGAATTGCAATTAGATCTGTGTAAGTAACGGATAATAGATCTCAAAACTAGTAATCAAATTAATCAGGTAAATTCTCCAAGGAATCACTTCAGCAAAGTAGGTGTATAGCATGAAAAGGTGAGAAATAGAAATAGCAAAGAGAGATCGAGAGCTTTAATGAAAGCCATAGCAGAGTTAGTAGTTCCTTAATTGGGCCCATGGTAGGAAAGCAGAGCAGAGAGGTTGTTTTATTTGGATGAGTGAGAAATTCTGGAGATGTAAGATCAATGGAATGTTAAAAGTTTGAATTTTGGTAAGTACAGTAAGGCTGTGAGTTGGCTAAAGGAAAATAGAGTAGGAAATGTCCAACTAGAAGTTTTAGTGCAAAAGGATTAAAATTGAACTTGATCTTTCTCTTTTCACTCCTCAGTACTTATTGCACTAGTTTCTTTGCAACTCACTTTACCAAGTGAGTTTCTGTTTTTCCTCCTCATTATACAATTGGCTGCTTAAATTTTCTTTTGTGAATAGACCAAGTAAAAAGCATCACGTTAGAAGATACTTACCCTGCTGTATTTGAAAATACAATAGCCACAGATTAGAAAATGAC